GGGGTGTGTGTGTGTGTGTGTGTGTGTGTGTGTGTGTGTGTGTGTGTGTGTGTGTTTGCCTGCATGGATGTCTGTGTACCATGTGCATGCAGTATTCACAGAGGCCAGAAGAGGGCCTCAGATCCCCTTAGAACTGGAATCACAGACATTTGTTAGCCACCTTGTAGGTACTTGGGATGGAGCTCCAGTCTTCTGCAAGAGCAGTAAGTGCTCTCAACCACTGAGCCATCTCTTCACCCATCCCATTTATTCTTTTTGATGCTTATTGCAAATGAAAGTGTTCAGTGTAAAGAAGTTCAGTCAATTTTTATGTATTGACTATATTTCATGCAGCCCTGTTAGACCTCTTCATTCTAAGAGATAATTTTTGGGTTTAAATATATTAGATCATATCATGTATGAATAGAGACAGTTTTATTTGTCCTAATTTCTAAAAGAACAAGTTGCTTTTAGTAAGACTATTGGTTTCTTTCCTATGAACGAGTAAAGAGAAAGTGAAAAGGTGCAAAAAAAAAGTTCTTTCTCTTCTAGTCTCTACATGGATCAACTTTAATAGTTGCTAACAGAGATCATCGTCTCTGCTTTACAAGTTCAAAGAGTTGGTTTTTTGTGTTCTAGCCACTCATATTCTGTGCATATTGCCTATCACATTCCTCTATCCCTTTGTTCATGACTATAGCAAAGGGCACCAGAGAATTGTCACAGAGACCAGTAAGATCAGGTGTTGAGTGTGCCAAAGTCACAATGGCAAAAGCTCTGGGCCTTTCCAGGCCTCTGGGAAGATGGCTGGAATCCATCCTTACAGAGCAGTGAAGCACCCTGAAGACGTTGGTGTTCATAGAAAGTCCCTTATATAAAAAAACATTTTCACACTTTTTCATATAACATGGTTTGATCCTATTCTTTTTTCTCCCCAACTTTCCCCAACATCCTTACTCACACAAGCTCATGAGTTCTTGTGTTCTTGTTGTGTGTGTTCTTGTTCTCCCTCCCTCCCTCCCTCCAAGAATGGATAATCAAAGGTCCTTGAGTTTGCTTTCGAAATAGAAAAATGAAAATTTGGAGTATTATAGAGTTCAGGAGTTTTATAAGAACTAGTGAAGGCTACAATTTGTGCTCCTGGCACCCTCTCTGGGATATTGTGCAGTGGTGGAATGGCTTTGAAGCTGTACTCACTAGCTGCTCATCACAGTACTTGGTCACCTTGTGTTACAGATGCTGCCAGTTGTTGCTGTTTTAATTCTATTTTTGTGTTTGTCTTTTATTCTCTGCAGATGATCACAGTAGGGTGAAGTTAAGACCTTTACCAGGAAAAGACTCTAAGCACAGTGACTACATCAATGCAAACTATGTCGATGTAAGTCAGGAAGGTTCCTATACTTGTTTCAGGAATTTGAAGACTGTGATAGAGGTGGTTGAGTGTATTTTAGCACTACACAGAAAGGTCACTAACACCACTGCCTGTTGCATGTGGAAGGTACTTGAATTATTAACTGGTCTTCTGTGATACCACTTTGACTTTGTGTTGTGTCATCTTTGAAGGGTTACAACAAAGCAAAAGCCTACATTGCCACCCAGGGACCTTTAAAGTCTACATTTGAAGATTTCTGGAGGATGATCTGGGAACAAAATACAGGAATCATTATCATGATTACAAACCTGGTGGAAAAAGGAAGGGTAAGAACCTGTTACTTTACTATCTTTTCATTTTGTGAATGAAAGTGAATGAAGTGCCTGCTGTGGGGAAGGACACCGACCAGGTGTAATGAACAGATGAGTTCTCTCCATGTGGAATTGCTCGTGTTTTCTGAAAGAGTTAAGGCCTCACAAGTGCAAATGAATATGATCACATCAGTGTGTTTTAGGGGGGCAGTGAGACAAATGAATGCATCCTCTGGTGTGGAAGTTTTAGAGACAGTCACATTTGAGATGAGAAACAGGCTAGCTGGAGAAAGAATGTACAAGGATAGGAGACAGCAAAAGTTGGAAAGTTGGAGAACGCATGGTGTAAGAAAGAAACTAAGGGGAAAGCAGAGGCTTCCCTGTTGACCATCATGAAGAGTGTAGTCGAATGTGCTGTATTTTTAGCTTGTGGAGATGGTGCTGATTGAGGCTAAGATAAAGACTAAGTCTCAGGTTGATTGTCTATGAAGTCCTGTTTTTGTTGATGGTGACCTAGTCTTGTAACACAGAGATTCCCAGCCTGGCTTCTGTAAGCCCAGCCCAGATGGTACTTAAAACTATGTTGAGTTACAATCTACTCATATTTTATACAAGCTTCCCCCCTCCCTCTCTCTCTCTCTTTCTCGTGTGTGTGTGTGTGTGTGTGTGTGTGTGTGTGTGTGTGTGTGTGTGTGTTGATCATAAATGAGTACTGGCTCATTTCTCCGATAATGTTAGGCAAACTTAGCCCAAGTCATGAACTTCTTCAGGGTCACACTAGCCTTTAAGCATTTCAGCCCATACCTTTCTGTTTTTAGTTAAAAAATGACAATATTATCTGTGTCTTAAAACTGTTGTTTCAAAATCCTAACCTTTTCCTTTTTGCAGAGAAAATGTGATCAGTATTGGCCAATGGAGAACAGTGAGGAGTATGGAAACATTATTGTCACACTGAAGAGCACAAAAGTACATGCCTGCTATACTGTTCGTCGTTTTTCAGTCAGAAATACAAAAGTGAAAAAGGTGTGTGCATACTGGGTGAGCTGTATGGAGACTACTGCACAATGAAAGCAAATCCAGCTTTTATGACGTTTTCCACAACTTTTTTTTTTTTTTTTTTTGAGGCAGGGTCTCAAAAAAATATAGCTCAGACTGGCCCCAAACTGGCTGTGGAACTGAGATCATTGACTTAGTCCTCCCATCTGCACCTCCTGAGTGCTGGATTTCAGGCTTGCCCTGCCAATACTAGGTTTATATGGTGCTAGGTATCCAATTAGGGCTCTACCCACTATCCAGCCCTGTATCTCTTTTTGCCCATTGTCTGTGTATCATGGGACAGGCATTGGCAACATGCATGAGATCAGTTAGGTGCTCTGGCTGACTCCTTTTGTCTTCACAAACCTGCCTTCGAAAGGGTCATCTGAGGTGGAGAACACAGAAAGAACAGTGGCACCCATTTGTTGGTTTTACTTTTTGTCACCAACTTCCTAAAAGCTTCAATGCAGTGTTTCCCAAAAAGTATCCCAAGGACTCCCAGTCTTGCAAAACAGTTATTTAAAACTCATGTTCTGCTGTTCAGTAAGAAAAGTGGCTGCTACATATTATGTACCCTCTTTTAAATATGGACAGTGAGCACAAGTGACCATAGTGTTTGAGTTCATGTTTTGTCATGTGACTTAACCATAGCATCTTTTTCTATAAACTGGTAGTATTCCGAGAATCACAATGTGGAAATGCTGTTTTCAAGTTATCTCAGTTTGTTTTTTTTTCTCCCTCAAATCCCCTGTCACAACAAGAATCACCACAGCAATATTTTGGAACCTAAATAGCAGCTCAGTGAGGAAGTACGGTTGCGACACTCTTGAGTCTGACAGTTGTCTGAAGCAGTACCGTTCGATCTTCGTGGGCATCTCAGGGAATGCAGTCAATGATAGCCCCCTTGCCATGGAAGAATCCACATTACTCAGCTCTTAAGCCCACTGATAGCCCAAGACTAGCAGTCCTTCCTCCGTGTGGCTGTAGCACGAGCCGCACTGTTTAAATCAGCAGCACGGTGTATTCTTCGTTGTTCAGCTTCTGGGTGGTTCAAGCCAATCAACAATTCTCTAAACTTTAGAGAGCTCACAGGAGAGCTTCAAGTATTTAAATAGGGCCAGTTGCCCTTCTTTGATAATAGCATGTGAGAGGAAGCAGTAGGAACTCAGGGGATTCTGTGTTTGACCAAGGCATAGCGAGACATCTAATTGGGTTAGTGAGATTGTAAAAATGCTTGGTCCTAAATGGAAACTATTCTGTAAAAGTCACTTGTGAGAGTGACAGAGAAATGAGACTTGACCCCAGGCTCTAAAGCTGTAAGTTCCTATCACACTTCCTCTCGATTCTTATGGAATGTACGGCTATAAGGAACCCTGGCTCTGGGTGTCCAGACTGAGTCATGGAGAAGAAATGGGAATGGCAGATGAAAGCAAAACACACAGCTGGGCAGCAAATCAGGAAAAGCAGGCTTTGTAGGAGAGTTCACGGTGCTTTGGATTATTCTAAGTTTAAAAGCCTGGTATTATTAGATGTTCATTCTTGGAATGATTTTATTCTTCTCTTCTGAGAAATGTGGATACTACCAGGAGACAACATGAAAGATGACCACAAACAGATAATTTAGCCCCCAAACAGTAGTTTAAGGTCCTTAATGATCCTTAAGGTCATATTTCTTGACATGCCATGTACTTTTCTTAACCAGGAGCTAACCCTCGGGGCTCAAGGTGCCTTTTGACACTTCTCTTTCTACAGGGCCAGAAGGGAAACGCCAAAGGTCGTCAGAATGAGAGGACAGTGATCCAGTATCACTACACACAGTGGCCTGACATGGGAGTCCCTGAGTATACCCTCCCGGTCCTGACCTTTGTGCGGAGATCATCATCAGCTCGGATACCAGACATGGGCCCCGTGTTGGTGCACTGCAGGTAGGGCCAGCATGCAGAGTGAGAAAGAAGCTGGGGATTTGAGCCCTGTGAACTCAGCCTGTGCTCAAACAAAGCATAGAGAGAGTTCCTGTGGCCCCTCTCCTCTCTGAGGACTGGGGTGAGTAAGCTCGGTACAATTATTAATAACTACACTTCTGTCACTTGAAAACATCATCTGAAAAAAAGCAAAAAAAGAAAAAAGAAACCTGAAGCTTTGAGAAAAAGACTGTCAGAGTGACTAAATTCTAGTTTTTATGAAATGATCTTGATAAGATTCTCCTTCTGTAAGGAAATTGTGGGCTCCGCCGAAGAAATTAGAATATAAATGAGAGCATTCCATAACATAAATTAGAGATTCTAATCCTCTAAATGGTAATGTTTATGACATGTATAAAAGGGTTCTGTTAATTTCTAACTTATATGTGCTACATATACTACTGCTTACAAAAGCTCTTGAAAAAATTTGTATTTTCTCTGAACTAACTAAAAACAACTTTAGATGATTATTTAAATGTCTTTACTGTATGTTTCGTGACTTTCCCCTACTAATGTTAAATTACCTTCTCTGTGGCTAATGTTGTATAGCTGTGCAGATTTTCTGAGCATCTCTGTGGGCATCCTGACAATATGCTTTGACAAAACAAGTCATTTGCAGAAGATACACCCTTGTGAGAACTCTACCTTTTGGCTAATCCATTTTGCAACTACCAGTGGAAATAAGTCTGCCAAACTGCTGGGTATTGTGCTAGATGAGTGATCTCCTGAAGGCATTCTGCCAGAATAAGCTTGCCACTCAATACTACAAATTTCAGATCTTCTTGGATATCTTCTAAAACAGGAATTAGGAAAATATCTACAAGAGGCTAGATTTTTCTGGGCATACCATTCTCCTTTACTAAGAGGAAAATGTACCATCAATAGAATTTTTCTACTGCTGAGAACATTGGTTGGATTCTGAGTTGCATGAAGCAGAGGCAGGCAGGCAGAGTTGTACAGAAAAGGGATTTTAGTCAAAGGGTAAGTTTCCAGATTCAATAAGAAAGCCATAGAACTAAGTGCCTTCCTCGGGTGTGAAGATGGCTGCTGCAAAGCACCCTCTAGCTGCATTCTTTGGTTTGAACTGCAAGGAAAGCTGAGGTGGCAGCTGTGTCCCATTTGTTATCCTAGAGTAAAAAAGTGTTCTATGCTCTTCAACAGAGCTAGATGGTGGGAAGTGTTCAGGTGATATCTATATGAATAGCATATGTCATTTCTAGTAGGCTGTCTGGAAAACAGGCTATTTCTTAGTTCATGAGCTTTTACATGTTTTTTTTTTTTTCTGGACAATGGTTAAAAGTACTAGGTGAGTGCCTTCATCTCTTACAGTGCTGGTGTGGGCAGGACGGGCACCTACATTGTCATAGACAGCATGCTGCAACAGATAAAAGACAAGAGCACAGTCAATGTCCTGGGATTCCTGAAGCATATCAGGACACAGCGTAACTACCTCGTCCAGACTGAGGTAAGAGGTGGCTGTCAGGACATCCACACAGGTTAAAACAAGCTGAGGAGAAAAATTCATTCCCAGAGACCTTGAAGAGATATATAGACGTGTACTTGAGATTTCTCAGGAGCATGCTCTTTCTGGATCACAGCTTTCCATCACTGTCTTAATGTCTAGACATCAGGAATCAGTTATAGTCACACTCTGAGTCATACTCCAAATCACAGGGAGTTAAGCGTGCTCCCTGGCAAACATAGGAAAGTTGGTTCTTGAGCTCTTTATTGAACATGTATTTGTATCTGTGTGCTATTATCGAACCACCTGGTCTAGACATAGTGGAGAAATACAGAATTAAACTCAACACAGCAGGTCTCTTCCCCAAAGTAAGTTACAGTGTATCAGAAAGTGAATACTGGGGTTGCCATCCAGCTACAGACTCTTGAGAAATACACTACAGGTCCCTGTCCAGGGCAGTGTTGATCTACAGTCAACTTTATGAATGGGTAGCTCTCCCTTAGTAGAACCCCTCAGTGACCGCCACACATCCTACCTTTCAGGAGCAGTACATTTTCATTCACGATGCCTTGCTGGAAGCCATCCTCGGAAAGGAGACTGAAGTATCTTCAAGTCAGCTGCATAGCTATGTTAACAGCATCCTCATACCAGGAGTAGGAGGAAAGACACGGCTGGAAAAGCAGTTCAAGGTATGGCTCTGGATAGCGTCTTTTGTAAAGACAGGAATTAGAAACCACCCTCAATTTGGGTCATGTCGTCTTTATATTCATGTGGATGCTGAAATGGATTGTTGCTTTTACTCCATAGTAGTGTTTTGACCATATGTGCATGCTGATATTAAAGTAGATGTGTCACGGTGCTTTATTTTCTTCTGAACTGTTGATGACTTTATCTGAATGTAGGTAGACACCATCCTCTAGCCCATTGACGTAAGACTTTCAGCCAGTTTTCTGCCCCCCAAAATACTGTTTTTTTCCCTCAGAAGTATTCAATAATCTTTTATTGAGGATAGTTATTTGATCCAGGAGTAGTAACACAAGCCAGTAATCCCAGTACTCAAGCTGAGGCAGAAGGATCACAAGTTCAAGATCAGCCTTTGCTGTAGAGTGAGAACCTGTCAGAAGAGAAAGGGAGAGATGGGAGTGACTATGTCCCTATTGTGATCAAAATGTACTTTTTTGAAAAATCCTCACAGAAGGCAATTGGGAAACTAAAAAAAGGTGGTGGGAGGGGAGTGGCGTTACTAAGTAGTGGAGATAAAGCTTAACTTATTTTAATAAACAGCAAGTCTAGTGGTAGTTAAGACATGTGTGTGATTGGAGGTAAAGACTACTGAAGTCATTAACTGTCACTTTCAGACACTGTCTTCTCAATGACTGAATGCTTCTCTTTTTCTTAGCTTCACCCTGCCTTTCAGTTCTAGTTTTTGCACATTGTGCTGTACGTCATCTTCTCATTCCATATCAGAATAGAAAGGATGAGTGCAATTCAAGTTTTCATGGAAAAACTTGCCTTATACTCTGAAATCCTCATTGGGACCTCAGCTGAAGAAATGAGACATCCACATAAATTATACCAAGTAGTATTAAGTGAAAAACAATTTAATTTTACTGAGTTCAATCATAACACCAATTTCAAATTTCCATTTCTCCTCTTAACAGCCTATCCTCTGTAAAACCACTTGAGGTAATTAGGTGACATAGTAATTGTTTAAATGTAAAAACAAAATGGATTATCACAAAAAATTACATACCAAAAATTTTTTTAAAAATTCTTTGTTTTACATTTCTGGGATATTTGAAAATTTCAGAGTCTAGGAAAAATTTGAATGTGAAAATGGAAAGTGAGCAAATTCATCTCATTTTTCCCACTTTGATACAAATGAAAAACTGTTTATATATAGACCAAAAAATAGGATAATAGAGTAGTAAGAGCATCCTTACATTCAAAATCTAAAATCCTATATGCTTCAGAATTCAGACTTTTCTGGTTACCTACATGATGTCATAAAGGGAATTTCCACACCATGAAGTCATTATGTAAAATTACTATCACACTATAATTCCTGTCCCCACGATATCTAATTGTATGTGCTATAAGATACAGAGATGACAGACAGACAAGCATTAACTCTTATCTGTTTTTAAGATTTATTTATTTATTTTATGTATATGAGTGCTCTGTCAACTTTATTCCAGAAGAGAGCATCAGATCCCACTATAGATGGTTGTGAACCACCATGTGGGTGCTGGGAATTGAACTCAGGACATCTGGAAGAGCAGCCAGTGTCCTTATCCACTTAACCCTGTGATCTGTGTTTCTTTATGTATACTTTTAAAAGAATTCACTGAACAAACTAGCCTTTTCAAAACTTGGAAAAAAGCCAGGCAATTGGCTCTTTAAGGTCCTAGCCATTTGCAGAAACTCAAAAATGGAAATACCCTCTAAGGTATTTACAGTGGCAGTAAAACACCCAGAGAGATTATTCTCATGTGTTTCATTCAGATAGAATCCCTGCTCGTGTTTTGCTGATCGTGTCATGTAATATACACACAGCACTGACATCTTCTTCAGTGGTACAGTCACTGGTAAGTTGCCTGTACCTAGGAAATAAACTCTCATCATGCTTACAGAAGTAACACTAATTAAACACACAAGTAGAGGAATTTGTTGTGAAGAAGAAAAGATTCAATTGCACTGGGACAATGATGAAAGGGACATAGAGAGTGAAAATGACTAAGATGTACTAAAGACATGTATGAAACTGTCAAAGAGTTGAAAAACAAATTAAGACAGAACACAAAAAGCAGCTAGGCCTAGTTACATAAATAAGAAGAGCAACACTCCTGGGCTGTAAAATGAAAAGCCTGCCATCGACAGAGATGGGCAGAGAATCAGTCCAGGTCTTATCTTTAAGAGATTAGATCTTAACTAAAGTAAGTAATGCAGTATAGACTTGACTTTGATAAGCCATGGAAGAATTAGAGATAAAATTCCCAGCAGCAGTGACATCATATGTAGAAAAATCCCCAGTGTTCAGTAAATACCACATGCACAGTACCTTCACTCCAGACCCCTAGGGCCTGGCAGTAAATACAAGTCAATGACACAGCCTAGCTACCAAAAGAAGGTCCAGAGGCGAAGCATGGGTGTCCTTTGGGGTACAAAAATATTTTTATTGCTTAATAGTCTGGCTGGTGATTGTAGGCAGGCAACAGTGATTGTACCTTTGAATATGCCAAAAATGCTCCTCCCTTACAGCTGATCACGCAGTGTAATGCAAAATACGTGGAGTGCTTCAGTGCCCAGAAGGAGTGTAACAAGGAGAAGAACAGGAACTCTTCTGTGGTACCAGGTGAGACATTAACTTAGTGGTTCAGTAGGTGAACATTCTTAGACTAGAATTTAGGTACTGTGTAAGGACACACAGTTAGCCAAGGAGACATGGTATAGTCAGTTCACTGAAAGCAGTTTGAGGCAAATAAAAAAAAGTGGATTTGGACACCACCATGCCAGTTGGACTTGACCAACTGACATGAAACCTAGTTTTGATTTGCCTCAACATGTCAACAATATTTCTGCTTGAAAAATAATGATAAAGCTACTGTCCCTGTGACATTAAGACTTTGAATCTTAGATTAATCTGAACTAATTAGAACTCTATCATTAAATTAACTACTGAGATCTGGCCCTATTGGTTTGTGGTGGCCTTTGTATACATTTTTCAGGACTTAGCAGAGAACATGTTGTATACCCTATAAACAAAGGCATTTGTTGATCATTGGGTAGATCCAGCTCTGTTGAAAAGGGTCACTGCTCTCTATGCCCTTCATGGAGAGAAAGGTCACTAAGGGGTTGAAAGAGAAGAACAAAGTACAGTATGTTGATGTAACTGTAGAAATGTAATAAACCTGGGTCAGCTTACCTGGAACACTTTTCCATGTTTATACTCTAATAGGTTGTGAAAGCCTTTCCTACAGTTAGATTTTTATCCTACAGTGTCTGTCCCGAGTACCCAGGGAAGTTTTCATTTTATACACTTCTTAGCAGATAACACCTAAGCTTGTTTAAATATGCCAGTCTTAGGAAGGAGCCAGGGAGTCATGCCATTCACCAAGTAAATCCAAGGAAGAATTGCTGGTTCCTTTGAACAATAAGGCAAATGTGGTGTTATTGTTTCTTTCCATATGATAGCTGAGCGTGCTCGAGTGGGACTTGCACCATTGCCCGGAATGAAAGGAACAGATTACATTAATGCTTCGTACATCATGGTGAGAGTCAACCGTTACCGCCTTTCAGTTTAATTGGCTGTATTTGTGATTAAGGAGCACATACCACCCCTGTGACTGATTTCATTTTTAAAGTAATTTCTCAATGTGTAGCATCAAACGTATAGAAATTTCTGTGCTTGAAACTTTTAACAAAAGATGCCTAAAGGGTGGGAATACAAAAATATCTAAATTAAGCAAAATGCTTCTTAAGGAATTAATTTTATTGTTAATTCGCCCAACTAGCTCTTAAATAAATGTTGAAATTGCTGTTAAGTAAAAACAGCAGGGGTAACTTGAAGTGAGTTGCATGTGGAGAGAAAATTGTCTGCACAGTGTTCACCGAAGTACAACTTAAAATTAACCAAATGTACTGACTGCCTTTCTCAATTCTTTTAGCATAGCCAAAATAATACTGCCCTGTTACATGAATGTATTTTACCACCACAAAGTTATAGTGACACATACCTAGTCACTAATTCCTCTTCTCCCTAATTGAAGGGCTATTACAGAAGCAATGAATTCATTATAACCCAGCACCCTCTGCCACACACTACGAAAGATTTCTGGAGGATGATTTGGGATCATAATGCACAGATCATTGTCATGCTGCCAGACAACCAGAGCCTGGTGAGTAGAGCACATGGGCTGTTGTGTCTGTGTGTGCTAAGAAGGGTGTTTTCCTAGCATTGTCCTTCTCACTTCTGTACCTGATTCCCCAATACTGTTTATAATGCTCCTCAACCACTCTATACTGGCTGGGTAAAGACTTTGAAAAACATCTTTTTTAGTAAACTCCATAATAGGACTTCAGAATTACTTCTTAGCCACCACATGCCACTTTCAGAAAATAAATAACTTATTACATTTAGGGTATATGTGACTGTGTTTACCTTCTATGAATTAACTGACTTAATAGCTGGAGAAAGTGAAGGAATGACCTTGTCCAAGAGCATGCAATAATAATTAGTCCCAGATTTCTACCTAAGTCACCTGCCTGCCAAGCTTTTAATCATTTTACTGTGTGTCCCATTGCCCCACACCAGAGGAATGGGTCTCAACTAAATGCTAACAATGTATCCATTTCATAGGCAGGGCCACAGTAGAGACAGAAAGGAGAGGCTGTTTAGATCCATCCTGCAGAGAGGATTCAAGCCTCTAGTCTAGTTCTTTCTGTCCCTTAGTCCTTCTCTGTTAAGATTCTGAATAGGAGATGGGAAAGCACATTTTAAAACAAAATTACACGTTTATGCTTAGGTCTTATGCATATGTACATTTCAGAATTAGCTGGGTCTTTCAAAAAAGTTATTCTGTGGACATGGGGCCTACAAGATAAAACAAAAGCCACTGGGGAACTGTCTTTGAATGTGGGATTAGTGAGTTTTTAATTAAGGAAGAGCAGCCTGTGGTTGAACTTCTAGTCTGGATGACAATGACTGTGTGCCCAGTCAGTAGGAACTTCTTTGCTCTGTTGCACTTTGCTCCAGCTTCAGGATCAGAGGCTGCTTCTTTATGATGGAATGGAGGAAGGTTGAGAAGCTTAAGCTGAAAACTGCCGTGTAAGTTTTTAACTTAGCTGGCAGCAGGGGCCCATTCTGATTGGCATGTGAAAATGGAAGGCATTTAGGGTTGAAATGTTTATTTGTTGGATGAGTTGGTATTTTGTTGCTATAACTGAACAGAGGCCACTCACCACCAAGGTACTTCCCAGGGCTCATTTGCATGGGAAAGCTAAACCCAACAAAGAGATGCATGTTCTCTAGATAGAATAAAGAGACTGATGCGAAACTGGCATGTCAGGGTCTCTCTGAAGCCAGGCTAAAAAAACTACCTAAAGTTGGCATCATTTTGGTGTGTTTTTACTACTACTATAACTGTACGATGCTCCAATTTTTAAATGACTTCAAAATCGCTAATTTAATTCAAAAAACAATATTACCTGTAATGCAAATTAATAAATGACCCAGAGACAGATATTAGGGTTCAAACTTCAAGCTGAATATCAGAAAAGCAAAGCAGCCGGCCACTAGGTCTCACCTCTACATCGGGCTGAAAGGGCTGATCCACAAATGAGCTCTTCACCAAGTCTCAAACTGCTGCCTCTCCTCAGTGTGGCTGGAGAATGAAAACCCTCTCTGAGACCTTGCTTCTGTCTTACATACTTCCCTAATGTTGGGATTAAAGGTGTGAGCTGTAATTCTCTTTTAGGCTGATTCATTCTTGTAGATCTGGGTAGCCCTGGACTCACAGAAATCCATCTTCCTCTTAATCCTGAGTCCTAGGACTAAAGATGTGTACCACCACCTCCTAGCTTCTGGCTGCTGGGATTAAAGGTGTGTGACTGGCTTCTATGGCCTGTGGCTGACTTTGCTTTCTGAATCCTCAGGCAAGCTTTAATAAATCATAAATAATATATCACTACAATTACTAATTCCTTACACTTTTATATCTAGATGCTCATATCCCTGTGTCTAGGTACTCTTATATCTTCATATCTAGTCTTATGCCTTTATAGCTAATCTTTTACCTTTATATCTAGATAATCTTATACTATACATCTAGATACTCATATCTTTATACCTAGATAATCTTATACCTTTATATATAGATAATCTTTTATCTTTTTGTCTACATTGTCTTAAACCTTTATATGTAAATACTCTATATCTAGATAGTCTTAGATATCTAGATAGTCTCTAGAACTTGGGAGATGGAAACAGAATGATCAAGAATTTAAGGTTATCATCAACTAGAAAGTCCGGCCTGTACTCCACGAGAACTCTGTCTAAAAAAAATTATAGTAACAAATGTATCAGTGAGGAGAGATGGACAGTGGAACTTAAGACTCTGTGGGTCTTTATTTGTAGGGAAAACCTGCAGAGGGGTTCTCTGTAAAAGTCAGCCTACCTTACTCTTGCAAGCTAGGGTAGTTACAGGGCAGAAGGGAAAGGCAGAGGAAGGAGATGGTAAAGTTTCCTTTTGGGCCCAAGGTTGGCCATTGCTAAGGGGAGTGAGGAGGTTATCAGTTAAAGAATGCCAGGTGATTAATAGACACCTTTCTGGGGATCCCAGGGGCAGAGCAGTGAAGAGTCTAGGAAAATTACTACTGGAAACCAAATTATCATTGTTAAGGGATTTGTCTCAATGTAACAGACAGTGTATATGTAAACACACACACACACACACACACACACACACACACGCACACGCACATGCACACGCACATGCACACACACACACACACCCTCTGTGACAGAAAGCCTGCAGAAATAAAAAGTTGCTCTTGGATCCGGGACTGTAGTTCAGTTGATAGAGTGCTTGCCTATCATGTTTGAAGCCCTGGGTTTAATCCCCAGTACCACATATGTCACATGTGTTTGTGACACATGCCTGTAATCTCAGCACTTGGGTAGGGAATGGTGCTAGGTAGCAAGCTCAAATTCACCCTGGGCTATATGACCTTCTGCTTCCCAAAAGAACAAGCTTTAAAAAAAAGGAAAAAGGGGGGAAAGTTAATTTAATTGTTTAACATTTCAAGGCGAGGAATTACTCCTAATTCAATGTCTGTATTCAGGGTTTTTTTTTTTCCTGCCTTTGATCTCTTTGACACCTTTAAACAAACTATATCATCAGATATTCCTATTATGTCCTTTGAAAATGCAAGCTTATCTTGTTCTCATTTGTAAAATATGTAAATAAAGGTTCAGAGATATGAAGCACTGGGGTAGATAGAATACTAGATGTATTGATCTCTGCATAGTAGTTAGATTCTAATGTTCTGTCCATCTTAACTATATATCCTGAATCTGTTTATGGGGTCATGCTTCGATTTTCTTGAACAAAGCATAATAAAACGCACAACAGTTCCAGGCTTCTTTTGTACAGATTAAACCCAATTGCTAATTTGCTTCCCCTTATGCTGAGCTTTAAAAATAAAAATGTACTTGGCAATAATCTATATTGAAACTTGAAGAGGTGATAAGTCTCATTGGACTGCTGGCTCATTTCTAATGCAACAATGTAAGTCTAAACAGAGCCTTCTTTGTTGTGAATATTACCCCTGACTTCTGTGATAGTAAATAGGCATTCTGAGTAAAATGCTCATGGAAGCCCCATGCTACAGGCAAATGGGAGTTCCTCATTTGAGCCATGAGAAAAGGGAGGAAGAGTATACATCCTCATAATCACATCTCATGGTCTCCAACCATTAAGTTTTTCTTAGGAAGCCATAATTTTCAGGGATAGAATTCAAGTACCAAGCCTGAATTTCTATTTTTAAACTTAAAATAGATGAACATGTAAAGCTTGCCTGCCTCAAAGCTGAACGCCTTCTGTATTATCCCCCTCTTGAAATCTGACACCAACAGGGTACCTTGACTTTTAAAAGGTGCCTTCTACTGATGGCCTGCCTGCTTATTTATTCACAGCTTCCTTTCCAAAAGGTGCAGTCTTTTGCTCTTTATCAGCAGTGTGATTTAGACAATTTATGGACATCTCTGAGAATGTCCTCATTTGTCAAGACAGATGGTACAAATCCCATATCTAGTGGCTATCATCCAAAATTTATAGAGAACTCTAGAAAGTGGGCAAAAATATGTCTTCAAGTATGACAAAAATGGTCAGCAGGTATGTGGAAAGGTACTCAGTGTTATAATCCGTTCCCTTTACAAAATACCACCTCCTGCCAATTAGGGTGGATATGACAAATGTCGGTAAGGAAGAATAGAAACTCTTGCTCGCATGGTCCAACATAGCTGTAACCCCAGCACTTGGAAGGCAGAGGAAGGAAAATGGATGCAAATTAGAGGTCAGCCTAGTCCATAGTACATTTAAGGGCTACATAGAAAAGAAGAAATACAACTCACTATACATTGGACTATAGACTAACACAACCATATGGAAAGAAGTATATTCAAGTTTCTATATAAAACACCTGCAGAGCACACACTTCCCCCAAAAGAAGATAAGCACCATGTGAAGTGTGTGCCCTCCAGTGTTCTCTGCAACGTTGTGCACAATAGCCAAAATATAGAAACAATCTGCATGTGTGTACAGGGGCATGTTTGCTGGCCCCTAGAAAGAATAAGATCTAGTTTTCGCCACAGATTGAGCTCAGAGAACCCTACACTGAGTTAAATAAGCCATACACAGGAAGAAAACATTATGCAGTCCCACTAAGGAAGAAAAAAGATAAGGAACTAACAAGATGGTAATGGGGGGTAGGGAGTAGGTTGGAGGACACAAAGCACAGGTATGTATATAGAATGAATAAATCTAGAGCTCATGTACCATCTAAGAACCATATGTAATAAAATTGTACTATACTTAACATTTATGATATTGTAGCTATTGCCATAAAAGTAAATATATATACATATTGTGTATCTATACCTGTTCATTTAATTGACTTTAGTAAACTTTACTATCTATTCTGTAATATGCATTATATTTCAAAAATACACAATAAATTTTATTTTTTAAACATCACTACTAATGAAGTATAAACTAAAGCAACTGTAAAGTAACAAAACTAAATGAACTCTACCTGATCTCTGATTTTGCCATGTCTGTTCTAACAGAGTTCTTGTCAACTAGGCATAGTGTTTTGTCTATAGAGCAGTTGTTTGGGTTGCTATGACAAGAGATGGGTGCTTTGAAACGGTTATTATCAAAGTACAATTTATAATAGACTACAATAACATTGAAAATGACTAGATGTGTGTTAATAATTCTATAAAATCAATTTAAAAGGTAAGGAGTGGTTTGGGAGATTGCAAACATGAGATGAGGAGTCAGTTTGATAACACTATAAAATAATTTGTTTTCCTGGTTCCCAAAGGCAGAAGATGAGTTTGTGTACTGGCCAAGTCGAGAGGAATCCATGAACTGTGAGGCCTTCACTGTCACCCTTATCAGCAAGGACAGGCTGTGCCTCTCTAATGAAGAACAAATCATCATCCATGACTTTATCCTTGAAGCTACACAGGTAACTTAACCCACATTTCCTCCACAGTTGCCCAACCTGGGTCTTGTGTCTTCCTTTTAAGTAATAATAAAGTGGTTTTACTACCTTCAAGATAGGTTCAGCTGTTAAATATGTGCATTTCCATTTTTCTTTCCTTCGTATATTTGCTTTTTCCAGTTGGGTGGAAGAAATGTAACAGTCTCTGGCTCAGCATACATACAAGTAGGTCTTCTGGCTAAATGATAAAGACGGTGTATGAGATAGTACTCAATATAGGAGAGAAATGCTGCTTGCTTTGACATCAGAAACATAGCCTTGCAATGGACATGACACTTTAACAAACACTATTTTCACATATAATAACTGCCTTCTCAGAAGCGTAAGAAATAATCCATGTGTATCAGCATTTGTATCACCTAAGACCCTCCCTTCTTTCTTTTCTATTGTGAGTCAAAGTTAGAGTAGTGGGGCATAATGTCTCCTGCAGGATTTTTGTTTTGTTTTGTTTGCCTAATTAAAGAGAGCCTACTATTCAGTGGTGTGTTGTGTTTTGATGACAGGTGGGTCTTGTGCTTTTTGGGTAACCTAATACTATTCAGAGTTCCCCAAGATGCATGCTTCCTAGGGAGCAGGTTTCATCCATTTAGTGATAGATACAGGAGGAATTATGATTCTGTTTTTTTTTTTTTGGTTGCAGGATGACTATGTACTAGAAGTTCGGCACTTTCAGTGCCCCAAATGGCCTAACCCAGATGCCCCCATAAGCAGTACCTTTGAGCTGATCAATGTCATCAAGGAAGAGGCCTTAACACGGGATGGCCCCACTATTGTTCATGATGAGTAAGTATCTGATTAATGTATGTTAAATTCTGGTGTTGTTCTTTTGATTGGATTCACACAGAAGTTGAACAGGAACACCTCCCTCTTTTTGCTTTCAGTACTCCATGTTATTTCTATTGCAGAGATACATATGCAAAAGCATCGTGGTTGTGTTTTTTTTTTTCTTTTAAATTTTTTTTTATTGGTTCAAATTAGGAACAAGCTTGTTTCACGTGTCAATCCCTTCTCCCTCTCCCTTTCCCTCTCCCTCCCCTCACTCCCTCCCTCCCTCCCCCACCCCCTACCTACCCTCAACCCATCCCCCCCCACTCCCCAGTACTACCGGGGCCCCATGTGGTTGTGTTTTAATTGGTCACCTTTTACCAGGCTTTGAGTGTCCCTAGAGTATATGTTCTAGAAAGGGAAAATACTGTACTTCTATTCTTCACCAAAAAGTAAGCAGGTTCTTACTTGGGGACAAGCGTACCCTAACCGTAATGTGTGACATTCTTGGCATGCTGGATTCACATGCTCAAGTATGTTCTCTGCCCAGGATAGTCTGTTCCCACCCAGCATTCCTGCAGCACACATAATCTTTTGAGATGGCTACAGAATAGATGCTTTACTCAAATAATAGCAACTAGTTTCCTATGTGTAACTAAGCTAGTTTCATTTAATCTCAAAGTGTGGTCTGAGAACCCTTTGGGTTGTATCTCCAAGGTCTTTCCAGAAGATCAGAAAAGTCAAGCTATATATATTATATATTACTATATATGTGTGTTTGTATATATACATATACATATACATATACATATACATATACATATACAT